CTCTGATCTAGATATTTAATCTGCGCATTGATCCAGTCCCCAACCATCACAACTTAACACCAGTTTTAATGTGTTTGATTAGTTTTCTGTTAGAGAACTCAACTATTTTCAAGTTTCTTCAAGCACTTCTGTCAAAATCCAGGATCTATGGAAGCTTAAGTCTGGAGAGAACTAGTAGGAAACGGGTCTCTTTGTCCAAAGTGAACCCAGTTTAAAACCGACATGGATTAAGATGTTGCAGACCAAAAAATATATATTATTATATTATTTTTCAAAGTGTCAGAAATGGATAAAAAAACTGCTATTTTCAATGACTACTTATTTTTGTCCAGGTTTAACATCAGTATCGATATCGGTAATCGGCTACATGAGTTTTAAAATATCGGCATATCGGATATCGGCCAAAATCCCAATATAGTGCATCCCTAATTTAAACCTTAATTTAATTAATTTTCCTTGTTATGGACCCTGGGTTCAGACTTTTATAAATTAAGGTGATACGATGTTATAATCCAGATGCAACTGTCTGACAACTTTGAACAAATTATTGTTGGAATTTGTTGAGTTTTTCTAAACGTAATGTTTTCCCACTTCAGATTTGACGCTTAGATTAGATTAGATTCAACTTTATTGTCATTACACAGGTAGAAGGCAACAAAATGCAGTTTAGGTCTAACCAGAAGTGCAATAGCAGCAAGTGCAGGATAAATAATAGTTCTATAAATATAGGACATGGGTTTCTACCGAATGAGTATAGAGATGAATACTGTTATAAATAATATATAGATCACTAGTGTTATGAACTAAATTTACAGCTGGATATGTACCGAATATAATATACAGGTGGATATTACTATAAAAAGGGTTTTTACAATCATGTACAATAGCGTAATATACAGATGGGTTTTACTATAAAATGAATAAAGTTTGGACAGAAGCTATGCAGTGGAAGACGGAGTCGACTGGTGCAGGAAAGGCAGCAGCTGGCGAGCAGAATCATTGATATTCAGGCTCAGCAGGGGGACTGAGGCCGGTCCGGACAGCAGCCACTCTCTTCCTTTACAGAGTGCATCTAAAACTCATCTGTTCATGGAGCTGCTGCTGTTTCCGCTTTCAGTCTCCTTCTCTGTTACTTACAATAACTTACTGTAGCTAAAAGTCTCAGAGAGAAGCTATGGGTCAGCTGGGGAAAGTAGCCTAATGTATTCAGTTTCCACTTTCCAGATCCCAGCTGAGTGGAAATTAAGGTTAGAGTAAAGCGTTAGCATGCTTCATGTAAAATGTAATCACAACAGTCTTCACGCCTGAGTGAGCGCCGTGCACGAACGTTCGGGATGTTACCAGGAGGACGAGGTAAACAGGGTGGACTAAAGCTGTTTAACTTGGCCTTTTTTCACATTAATTAAGGGAATTTACTCTTAATTTGAGCAGGTAAATAAGATCGTTTGCCAATGGAATGAGTATTTTTACTCTTAGAACAAGATAATTAGATAATATGCATTTGAAATAAGACAATGCAGATATTTTTTCTTATTTTAAATGTAGATTTTCTTGTTCCATTGGCAAAGCGTCTCACTTACCTCCTCAATTCAAGAACAAAATTACTTCTCCAACTTCACCAAACGAACGTCCAATCAGCGTTGGCTTTGAGGCGGGTTGAGGTGTGACGCAACGAGAAGAGCGACAGTTCAGTCTAAAGAACATGCCGGCTTCAGCCGATGAAACAGCGTTAGCGTGGCTATCGAGCAAGTTTTATCGGAATGACAGAGTATTTCTTCACTGAAAGAAGAGCAAAACACTGCTCTGGAGGCTTTTCTCAGAGGAAAAGATGTTTTTGCTCTTCTCCCGACTGGTTTCGGCAAGAGTTTGATCTATCAATTGGCTCCTCTTCGTCGTCGCTCTGTTAGTACGTCATATGCTTCGTTGATCTGATTGGTTTATTTGGCCCGTCTATCACCAACATAGGCCAATCAGCTAACCAGTATTTTCGCCCCTTCCCAAAATTACTTCAACGGAAGGTTTCCAGATGGATATGCGGAGCAAATCCATCTGGCGGAGTCAGGTTAATCATTTTAATGATATTAATAATATTTTTTAGAGGTCATCAAAGGTCAGTTAACATCTGTTTTTGCTGCACAAACGTTTGACACCAATTTTTAAGAAAATCTTTAAGAAAACGGAAATATCTTGAAAGCTGTACAAGATGAAATTTCATTTCATTTCATATCTATGATATTAGGTTTTCCTTCTTTTCTGAGATTAATCCATATTTTAAAAGTCATACACTCCTTATTTGGTTTGGGGATAAACTTAATGTGAAGTAACATTGATTTTCCACAACATTAAGCATTCACCTGTTTCAGCCTTACAGCCAGAGTCGCAGGAAAATCGAGTCGTTCTTCAGCAGAATGATGCTTTTAAACAGCATGAGGTGAATTGAAAGGAGAAGGTTTGATTTAAAACTGAAGTGATTTTGTCGACTGAACAAATGTACTAACTGTTAAGTCTGGAAATGTGGAAGAGTTTATAAAGGGATGTGCTTCTCTGTCTAATATAAACCTTTCACTCTGCTCTGGCCTACATGCTGTTTCTGTGTCACTAAACTAGGCTTTTACTGTCTTCTCATCGCCTCCTAACATCTCCACCACCATCATTTCCTCACAGCTGGCTTTCTCTCTAAGAGCTTTAATGACCCCCGGTTGTCTTTAACATATTAGAAAGAGCATGAATGTGTTTTTAGAGCATAAAATGAATCAGAAATCACATCAGAAAAAAGAAAGAGAGAAATTTTAGCTTCAACTGCTGTATCAGCTGTTTCCCTCCCCTTCTAAATGGATAACAGGTGTAGAGCCGGTGTCCAAAACAGTACAGAACCAGTTCTGTTTTCCACAGAGAGAGAACAAACTCAGAGTCACTGTATCGCAGCTCTTCCACTAAATCTATGGTACTTCTTCTCTTCTATTCTGGGTTTCTATTGAGGATCCAAGTGCAGAGAAACTATTTCTCTGCTCAGATTACTTAATTTGTGAAGAAAAGAGCTAATTTTCACTGTCTAAATTTCTTTAAATTAGGACTCCCACCAGCTAGTAAGACAAAAAATAATCTACTTTGTCAAATCTGACTCAAACTGACCAATTTAAATGTATGTGTGTTAGGATTGTCACGATACTAAACTTTTCAACTCTATACCGATACTAAGGAAAATATTCGATACTCGAGACCATTTTCGATACCACAAGGATAAAAACAAAGATTTGAGAATAAAATAAAATAAATAAATACAATTACAGGTTGTTTGCTGTGCACAATATTAAGCAAGCTTGATAAAAAAACGTATACAATTAAAATTAAGTGTTCCTTTCTTGGGTATGCTTTGCACACATAACAATGACATTAGCAAAACCAGTTAAAAAACAAAAATAATTCTCAACAGCTGCACCTCTTACAAAATAAAAGTCTGAAACTGAAAAGTGCACAGAATTATTCAATCACACAGTGTTCAGAAAGTGCATTTTCTTCTATTCTGCACTTTAGATGAATGACTGCTTAGGTGCCACAGGTGGTGGCACTGTATCCATACCTTTAAAATCGAGTATTGTATCCGGATACAACTTTTCAGTATGGATACTTTGAGTATCGATACTTTTGACAACCCTAATGTGTGTCTTGTTTGCTTGTAAAGGCAGGAGGAGCTGGAGATGCTTGGATTGATTGCAATGGAAAAAAATCAAAATCTAGATAAGTAATTTTTTCTTAAAATAAGTGCATTTGTTCTTGGATTGAGGAGGTAAAAGTGACATTTTGCTAATGGAACAAGACAATTTACACTTAAAATAAGAAAACACAATTGCATTATCTTATTTCAAGTGCATTTTATCTAATTATCTTATTTCAAGAGTAAAAATACTCATTCCATTGGCAAACTATCTTATTTACCTACTCAAATTAAGAGTAAATACACTTAATTTAAGAACTTTTTTTACTTATTTTTAGGTTGTTTTTCCAGTGTGCAGCAACCTCTGCAGAGATTAGGGATGCTGATCCACTTTAGAGCAATAAGAAAAACTGAGCTGAAATATGAATATCTCTGTTACTGCTTCATTAACCTTCGACCAGTAACTTCTGGAGGTTATTTGGACCAAAGACTGAAATCCTGGACTGAAGGTGGCCTGATCTTACAGGTAAATAACCAAGATGGAGGAACAGGATGGACAATGTCCTACGAATTGTTTAGCTTCATTTTTCACCATGGAGCTGAAAACATTTTTATTCTCTTGCTGGAATTATTCCTCTGACTAAACAAGCACTGATAGAAAACAGGTAAGATGAAACAAGAATAAATAAAGGAATTAAAGATAAAGGAATTAAAATGTCCATTAAATGACTTTAGCCTTAAAGTTGACAAAAGTCAGATAAAAGTAAGAAAACTTTTTAGATAAGGATGTAAACATGTTGGAATACCATCCTTAAACATTTCAACCTGTGATCCAAAGAATAATAATTTAACAACATCTAATTAATTTATAATTTTTTTGGCAGGTTCTTGATTTTCTAAGTTTTTACAGATTTATGCAAAAATTTAGACTTTCTACATTTCATAAAGTTGTCATAATTAGGTATTTTTAGAAAAGCATTGATAATAACTTTTCTGATGTTTAAATTAGTCTGAAAATAGATCAAAAAACTAAAAAAATGTTATTTATTTTAAGTGTATTTAGACCTGAATTTAACTCAGTAATAAAGGAGTAATAGGAGTTTAGGTTTTGAGGAAAATTTATTTTCTTCTTAACAAAACACTAAAAACTGGTTCAGGCGCTTCTATGCTGGTAATAAGAGCAATAAACAGAAAGTTCTTCTTTTTTCAAATAGTAAACCAAACTCAATCATCTTTTGCAAAATCACAATAGTTTCAGCACCTCAACAAACCCGCCTCAGAGCAGCTTGCAGACACCAGCGGTGCCTTGCTTTCAGGCACAATGTCAGAGCTTTGATTTCCTTACCTGCAACACGCACCACCGCCCTCTCTGCCGGGTCCAGCACCGAGTCCTGGCTCTTCCTTTTCCTCCTCTCATGCTTGGACAGATTCCACGGTAAAGTGTCCCCTGGTGGCCCCACGAGTCCCGAAGTGCAGGGAGACAACGACCCGCCGGAGCGCTCGGTCCGGAAGGACGGCTCGCTGACGCAGGAGCGTTCGCTAAGGGTGTCATCGTCTGACGACTCCATCTCACTTTGAGGCTGCTGGGAGCAGAAAGATGGAGATAAATGAGGAAAAAGGAGGTCAGAGGATTCAGGAATACTGGAGACACTATAATTAATCACTGGGCTACAGTTGGATAAAGTCATTATGAAAGATTCAACATTTTTACTTTACATTAGATATATGAGGCTGCTTAGTGGTGCAGTGGGTAGCACTGCTACCTTGCAGCAAGAGGGTTTCCTTTCTGCGTGGAGTTTGCATGTGTAGGTTCTCTCTGGGTACTCCAGCTTCCTCCCACAGTCCAAAAACATGACTTTTAGGTTAATTTGCTTCTCTAAATTCTCCTTAGCTCTGAGTGTGTGTGCATGGTTGTTCTCTGTGATGGACTGGCGACCTGTTCAGGATTGACCCCACCTCTCGCCCTTAGAAAGCTGGACATAGGCACCAGCACCCCTTGTGACCCCACTTGGGATAAGCGTGACGGAAAATGGATGGATTAGATATATGGTGAGGTTTTAACCAATTACCATATAATATAAGAGTTGGAGAGTTGTAGCTGTTTGCTATTCATGGGCATAAAGGGAGTACAAGGATGGAAAGACATCCCTATTGACCTTAAATGATCGACTGCTTGATCTGGGCAGAGTTAACAGACTATGTAAACTGTTGAACATTAATGATTCTGCAAAGAGAAGCTCATTCAAAACTGAGACATTATGGCCAACCTTCCATGAAGTGAACAGAGTGAGAGATGGTCAGAGAAATGACAAACAATCCAAGAGCTTCTTTCAGACTCCACAGTTAGGAGGTTAAAGTTCATGACAGCACAACAAGGAAAACACTGAAGCAGTACGAGTATTTGGAGGAGTTGCTGCTGAAAGCCTCTATTCTCCAGAAACAACAGGGCAGCTTAAGGCTGAAAGGCTGAATGAAGGAAAACACGTTCTAGAACAACGTCCTTTTGACAGAGGAGACAAAAATAGGCATGTTTGGCCGGACTGCAAAACTCAATGTTGATGAAATACAAACAATGAATAGAAGAACAAACAACTTGTACAAACTAAAGTAGTGGAGTAGGTATGGTAGGGGCTAGTTTTGCAGTCAAAGACGTGGAGACCCTCTGTTTCTGTATCAAAGTCAAATGTGAGTCCAACTGTCCAGCACCTAAAGCGCAAACCAAACTGGGTCTTTATCAGAAGTTCATGACCTTAATGAACTAAAAGAATGTTGAGAAGAAGAATGGACCAAATGTCTGAGTCAAGAAAATGATAAATTCAAACTGAAACGTATTATTGGTTTGCAAACTACTGGATACTGGACAAAGAATCCACCAAGAATCCTCACTTCAGTATCAACCAGACTTGAAACAAAGGATAAATGAATATCAATCAAAGGAAAGTTGAAGATTTCAAAGTTTTTATATCTTCTGAAAACATTAAACTTACTTCTATAAAATGAGCTGTAAGCATTAAATGGACGGAAAAGGAAAACGCTGGAAAGACATAAAGAATCGAATGTGTTTGCATCTAAATCTAGTCTCTGGAGACCTGACGGTCCAATCTGTCCATCAAAGGATCAATAACTCCGAGCTCTAAGCTTCCTGAGATTGCTAAATATTTTAAAGACCTGCAGCTCCTGGAGTAGAACTGCATTTTCCTGAAATCCCTGCAGACTTATCTACTTATCTAAGATCTACAATAAACAGAGAAACAGGAGCTCAGCGTTGTTCTTTTAATTATTAGATCTGTTTTGGACGTTTTTAAAATAGTTACTAAATAATACTTCTATTCATGGTAGAGATTAAATAACAAGTTCCTCTGAATATCTAATTACTAACTTTTGTTCTAACAGAGCAAAGCTTGGTACGTTAGAACCATAACATAGTACATTAATAAACATTTCACCTACACATTAACATGTTCTCCTTACTTTTCTGTGTATGGTGTCCCACAGGGCTCTGTTCTGACCCCCCTAATTTTTTCCTTACATTTGCTCCCACTTAGTGTTATACTCAGAAATCATGGCTTTGCGTTTTACTTTGGTGCAGAAGATAATCAGATCTACATTATATTCCTCTATAGAAAATAGGGCAACCCCTCTTTGTAGCAAGTACTTCAATTTATTAATAGCATTAAAGCATTATAGCATTTATTAATAGCAATTAATACTTATATGGCCAATCTTTTTTATATTTCATGAGAAAACAACCAAAGTGATCGCTTTTTGGTCAACCTACTGAGACCATCAACAACTCATAGTCCTTGGCACAGTACAGTATAATAAACCCGTTTTCACCAATTTGGGTTTTAAAATCAAATCTAATCTTAAATTGGACAGTCAGATTAAGGAATTTGTTAATTCCAACTTTTTTCAGTTTAGGGATCGGGCTAATATGTAGTCTGTTTTGCTCTGAGGAGCAATTTGAGGCAAAAGCCCATTTGTTACCAGGATTACTGTGATATATATGTATGGTAAATGAAACAAACATTTTAAAGGAAAAGTCCGTCATATTCAGAATACTAACTTCTGAACGACTTTAAAGGAATAGTACACCCAAAACATGATTAGCCTTCATTTTCTACTCACCCCCATGCTGAACAACACTCTGGAGTACTTTTTTGATATCTCAAATGCATCTGGAGATCTGGGAGGCTTCTTGCTGTCTGCTGACATTCAAATAATGGAGGTCTATGGTGCCCGAGACAGAAAGGTCCATAAAAGTCCACAAAAACGTGTCAATATTCCTCCATACTGCTCGTCCAATGTAATCCAAGTGTCCTGAGTGGGTAGCATCCAGAATTTACTCGAAACGAAGTAATTTAGAATGTTTTTAGAGCATAAACAGTAGTGTATAGTATTTCCTAAAAGCGCGTTCACGAGTCTACGGAAACCGCAGCAGACCAAACCAGACGAAAGTGCGCATTCAGCTCGGCAAAGAACTCCTGCTCTTCCTCAACACTGAAGTCCTCAGACATTTTTCTTTCGTTGTTTCTTTCTTTGCACAGGTAAACAGCACATTTCTTCTTCTACGCTTGCATTATCAGCAGAGCAGACGCTGAATGCGCACTTTCGTCTGGTTTGGTCTGCCGGCTTCCGTAGTGTCCTGAACGCGCTGGCGCGCGCTTTCAGGAAATACTATACACTACTGTTTTTGCTCTAAAAACATTCTAAATGACTTCGTTTCGAGTAAATTCTGGATGCTACCCACTCAGGACACTTGGAATACATTGGACGAGCAGTATGGAGGAATATTGAGACGTTTTTGTGGACTTTTATGGACCTTTCTGCCTCGGGCGCCATAGACCTCCATTATTTGAATGTCAGCAGACAGCAAGAAGCCTCCCAGATCTCCAGATGCATTTGAGATATCAAAAAAGTACTCCAGAGTGTTGTTCAGCATGGGGGTGAGTAGAAAATGAAGGCTAATCATGTTTTGGGTGTACTATTCCTTTAAGTATGAAATTATTACATACTGTTCAATAAATGATCAGTGTTTTTAATTCAGAGTAATTTTCATTTGATTGTGCTTTACTGGAGGCATCCATGTTTGTCAAAGAACACCACTGCCACCTACTGGTTTGTGACGTCACGGTGCGGTATCGGCTGTTGATCAAGTCCCAGTGCTGTATCTGGTGTTTGTCTCAATGTGCTATTATCTATGATGGCGATGACCAGTACACTATGCAAAGCAGAGAGTAACGGATTAAAGACGTGGTTTTTCTCTGGCCAGAAGTTCGATGGCAAATCCTCCCTCTTCAAGTTGGCGATCCAACGAAGAACCCGTCCGTGGAGGATCAGAAATAACTCTTTTTTTTTAACTTTTACCCGATGTATTCCAACATCCAGCTGCCATGCACGTGGGCATTGTCAGTTTCACTATAGCTCTGGTGAATTTCAATGGTGAAGTCCTCTGGAAATCTTCAATAATTGTTGTTGATTGCAGATGTGTCTAGTAGTTCCCATTGATTTTGCTTGTAAAGCGGGGAGAATGGCGCTAGGCTTACCGCACCGTGACGTCACTGCTGGAAGATGGCAGGAGGGAGGGGCTACTATATTTGGGCAAAAATGGCCGCTGCCGGACTCAGTGATTGCGCCGAAAATTATTATTTATTTTTTTACTGATGCCCGCGAACATCTTAGTTTTAGGTATAAATACTGACTGATTGGTTATTCCTTGCTGACCGGACATTTCCTTTAACAAGATTTAGGAAGTGTGAGCACTTTTAACCCATTTTAGCTTCTCTTCACTGGCTGCTCCTTTTATAATTCCTTTAAACATTTGCTTCTAAGGCCCCCACTGTCAGGTTGTGTGGAGATTTTTAGAGGACCCAAATGCAGAGGCAGAAGCTGAGGTGGTTTTTTGCAGATTTAATGAAAATACATAAAAATACAAAGTCAAGAACTGTTTGACGAGGAAAACTCAAGAAGCAAAAAAGCTAGAAGACACGATGGAGGAATAAACCAAAAGAATGATGAGGATCTAGAGGAGTAACTGAAGAGAAGGTGTATATATGGGAGACAGAAACAATGGGAGGACAAGTTAGCACATAGGGAGCAGGTGCAGACAGAGTAACTAAAAGGAGCTACGGGAAAGGAGAGTAGATTTTTTAAACCTTTTTATCTCTTTCACTTTATTTTATGATTTGCTTTTATTCTCTTTAATTATTTCTGATACCTCATGCTAATATAATGTCATTTTCTTTTTTATTTTCACTTTGAATTGTCTTGTGTTTTATGTTTTAATGCGTTTTATTGATAAACTTGCCTTTAGTGTGATATTCACTGCAAGAAAAATAAAAAAACCTACATATTTAATTAAATATGTGTAATATAGAGCAACAAGGGATCAAAATGCAGCATTCAGGATAGAAACCAAGCCTCTAAATCATTGGCTTAATAGTTCATAGCTAATAAGAGCTCTAGGGCAGAGGCTTGGACCAAAACAGGAGATTAACGTCTCTCACGGCTTTAAACCTTCCAGTGATTTTAGTGAACAATGTGCATAAATCCCATCAGAGAAAATATTTTAAGATTTATTAAC